TACGCGGCGAAAATTCAAATTCAAACCGTCTAAACAGACACAACAAGTATCGTTTCCCCTTAATTTGAAAATCATTATAGGTATACAAACCTAGAAAAATTCTTGAATAAATAACGAAAGAAAAACGAAAAGGAATTTTTGTTCAAGCTCAAACTCAAAACAACACAAGGTCACACTTTCGTTAAAAGAAACTCTATTTATTATATTTATTATATTTGAATTATATTATTATTATTATTATTATTTTTTTTTTTTTTTTTTTTTTTTATTTTTTTTTGCATTTCTGATATTTTGTCATTATTTTTTCTATTCTTCCTCTTCTCCCTCTTATGTTTCGTTTTATTTTTTTTTTTTCTTTTCGTTCTCGTGTCTTCTTTTTTTTCATCTTTTTTGTTCATACCTGTTTTTTTCTTCATATAACTTTTTAAACTTGTTAATTATTTTCAAATATTGTTTTTATTCATTGTCCTCTACAGCATAATCATCACATATTTTATCTCTTCCTTCCTAATTACTGTCTCTCGCAAATTCTCTTTTCTCTATGTATATACTAAATGCACCCCATCAACACACAGCCACACACACACACACACACACACACACACACACACACACACACACAACACACACAAACACACAACACACCACAACACACACATCACACACACACACACACACACCACAACCACACACACACACACACACACAACACACACACACACACACACACAAACACACACACACAAACACACACACACAACACACACACACACACAGCACACACACACACACACACACACACACACACACACACACACACACACACAAACACACACACACAACACACACACACACACACAAACACACACACACACACACACCACATATATAATCCAATCATCATTTAAGACAAAATACCAACAGCAACCAAAAAAACAAGAACAATACAACCAAAAACCCGAACTTAGAGAGAAACAGTAAAGGAGAATCACCCAGAGAAGGCATACCTCCGCCAAGGCATTAAAATTATTACATTAAGATTATTACATTAAAATGAATTAAAATTATTACATTAAAATAATTATATGACAATGAATCTAAATTATTACATTAAAATTATTACATTAAAAAATCAAAATTATTACATTAAAATAATTACATTAAAATGAATTAAAACTATTACATTAAAATAAATTAATAATGATTACATTAAAATGATTACATTAGTATGATTAAAATGATTACATTACATTAAAACCATTACATTAAAATTTCACACATTAAAATGATTACATTAAAATAACCTTTTTAAAAGTACACAGGTTACGTCTTTAAACATAAGCTCTTTGGTGGATATAAAGCAATAAGAGTCATGATGTAATTTTTTAAAAAAATCCTGGATCTGGATCAACACCCGGATTTAATGCCATTTAAGGTAGGCTAAGACACACTCTAAAAAAAAAAAAAAAAAAAAGAAGAAAAAAAGAAAAAAGAAAAAAAAAAAAGAAAAAAAAAAAAAAGAAAAAAAAAAGAAAAAAAAAAAAAAAAGAAAGAAAAGAAAGAAAAAAGAAAAAAAAGAAAATCTATTATAACTTGTTGAGTTATCCGACTAACCGAAGAAACAAACAAACAAACAACTAACTAATGGCAGAAAAAGACAAATAAAATGGGAATAACATCAAAATAGACATAGTTGATGATAAAAAAACGCAAAAAAAAACTAAAAAAACAAACAAACAAACAATTTAACTAACAACTGACCAAAACATAACCACCAAAAAAAACGAAGAGAAATAAAACGGGAATAAACATCAACATAGACATAATTGACGATAAAAAAGAAAAAAACAAAAACAACAACAACAACAAAAAAACGACAAAAAACATACTTACGTAATTTAAGGATCTTTCTGCTAATCCAATTAAGTCGCAACGGGAAGATCATATTCAAGCCAATTAATTTGATATAAGATGTTCTTGCATTTAATCCAATTAAACTGATACGGAAGGTTCAGGGTTCACTGACATGATAGAATAACACGTCAATATATTGATAAAAAAAAGTGAATAACACTAACACGTCAATATATTGATAAAAAAAAAAAGTGAATAACACTAACACGTCAATATATTGATAAAAGATAGTGAATAACACTAACACGTCAATATATTGATAAAAAAAGTGAATAACACTAACACGTCAATATATTGATAAAAAGGTGAATAGCACGTAAATAAAATGATAAAAAAAAGGATTTAGTGATAATAAAGTTGATGGAATTGACGGCACAAGAGGTCTAAGGTTTGTGTGCGTTCGTGTATGCTTTCAGGAATCCGCGAACGAGAATACTTACACACACAGAGCTGCACTGACACTGACCAGCCGCCAGGGGGATGAGCTACCCTTACCCCCCCCCCCCATTAACCCCCCCCTCACTCCCCCCCTCCCCCTCACCCTCCAAGGCTTCGACCTCTTTTACTCTCTACCCCAGGTGTCTCC